GCAGGGTTCATGTGAGCCTCTTCAGAGCTCATATCCCCCACGTCTGTCCAGCTGGAGAACTTCAGGTCGAGGAGAGAAGGCTCTGCGTGCCATAGGTTTGCCATCATAGACATAGTCATATGGTTAAGACTGAAGGTTGGAAAGTGAATTAGGGACAGGTGTCTTATTCACACTTGTTTATTTGGGGAATTTATAAACTTCTGTTTAGTGTATGATTCCCAGGGTGTGCTATTATTCACATAATTAATCTTGCCTTTTCCAAAAAGGCACCCTCCCTTCTCACAAGCATCTCAGAGTGTAGAGTTATTAGCTGAGCATTTTTCTCATCATCTCCATTCCTCCAGGGAATGTGGGGGGGGGGTGCTCTCATTTTTACTTAGAAACAAAAAAAGTGCTGGGGAAAAGGCATAGGGGTTTCTTCGCATTAATAGAAGTTGAACATTGCAGCAGTGGCAGCTTGGTGCTTTGCTACCGAGCAGTGTGGTAAATCACAGCAGATGAATTAAAATCCCCAAATAAACCGGTAAATGGCAATCATAAAACCTCCGAACACCCTTACATACTGTAAATCAGGAAGGAAAATCTTTTTCAACAGGCTTGCAGGAGGAGAGGGCTCTATTTAAGGAAGCCCTGTCTCTATGAAGAGAGAGTATATCAAGATGCAGGGATGGAGAATTGGGTGTTTGGAGCTCTCTGGGTCAAACAAGTGATGGGTACAAGAGCAAGCGGCAGAAAGTAGGTCACAAATATGTCAATATAAAGCTGAAATCGGGAGGCAGCTTTTATTACTTTTGATCCAAGGAAGAAAGCCATTACTTTGTATGCAGAAAGCACAAAATGGAATACCTGGCATCTCCAGGTGACCCTGGAGCCTTTCTGCCTGAATTCGGCTATAGCATCCTGATAAACTGTAATGAGCTTTGCTTGGTTTCAGTTTAGGGAGTGGTATAGCCAGGACCACCAGATTTAGGCAGCAAAACCCCACATAACCATTAGGTGGCAGCCGAGAGACAGAAAACTAAACCACCTCTCTGCTGCCATCAAATGATTGCCTGGATTTTGCAGCTCAGACTCAATGGTTTGATCTGCTGTAATTTATAAATGATAGTTTATGGCTCAGTTTGATGTCTGAACCATACTGCTATGATTTGAATGGTCTATGACCGTGACGGCCAAACTATGGCACTCGTGCCAAAGGTGGCACGTGAAGCCTTCTCTGTGGGTGCGCAAGCTGTCATCCCACCTCAGCTCCACCGTGCATGTGCATGCACCTCCCTCCGGCCAGCTGATTTTCGAGTCTCTGCTGTGCATGCAGGAGACATGTGCGCATACATGAGGGAGGGCGCATGTGCATTTGCGTGTGGCAGTGGGAGTGTGGGGTGGTGGTTCTGTGGACCCTGTTTTGGGTTGCAGGAAGCTTCAGGGAGGCCTGCTAG